GTAATTGCATACCACAAGCCTGTAGAAGTACAGATTTAAATTTTCAGCTCTCTACAAGCTTTAGCTCTCGAGAAATTTGAATTTTAGCTTGGACCACCTAACTAGGGAAAGCTATATTCGGTATTTCTCGAGAACTAAAGCTTGTAGAGAGCTGGAAATTTAAGTCTGTACTTCTACAGGCTTTGGTATACAACTACCTATGTGGAGACGGCACAGCATCACTTTGGCAAATGCATGAGAAATTCCGTTTTCTTGGTTTCTAACAGAGAAAAAAATACGGCAACGGCGTATATTGATGTCTTATGTGGATAGTGTTTGCGTGAACAAGTTAGAATTTTTGTAGGTTTTTTATGAAGTGAGTTACGATTTTTTTCGATTTTCGGACTGCTGAGTCTTTTTAGTTTTCGGCTCGAAACTCGAGATAGATGAAAGCTGTTGCAAAAATAAGACGGCCATCTTGTAGAGCTTGCTTTGCTCTATCGAATGGTACTTTGCAACCTATTTAGTGGTGAGAAGTGTATGACTTAGTGCGGTTGAAATTCAAAACGGGCATTAATTTCCGGACAACCTAATATTAGACTGAAGTAGTCCTAATTTTGGTTTAGCTTTGTTTTTTTTTTCGGCAGGTCAAGCACTTATTGTATTCGTTCTGAAGCTTCACATTTCAAGTTGGCATGCTCCAAAAGATTCGAAGAAGTTCACAATAGTTTCGACTAATTCCAAGTTTGAAACCAAAATCTAAGAAGTTCTTGACGCTTCTAAAAACTGAATAGATGTAATCGCTCAAAACAAAACCCCTACAAATTTCTCACCGCTTTGCATATACACTCCACATCATACATTTGCATTAATCACTGAATGTTTCCCCGGCATTTAAAAAACGAATATCTTTATCTCCCTAAAAGCTCCGAAAAATTTTGATTCTAACCTGAAACACCCTAGCAGAAGACACTGATTCGATGATTCTCAAAATTTTCGCGTGTAAGAAACTGAAAATTTACGGCTGTATTTTCAGAGGTTTGTCGCGTACATTTTATGTGAAAGCAGCCAAGCTTTTCTTTGTAATAGCAGAAACTTTGTTTTCTAGATGTCTACCCGAGGAGAAAATTTAGCCTTTGCATCTATGAATATCAGAATGTAAACGCGTGAGCGAGTGAGAGATTTATAAACTTAGAACGAAGAATAAACTTGAGCTTCCAAGCTCTCAGCTTCAAACTGGGGTGGGTCGAATTCTACGTGCCAACTTGTAAAGCACATAAACTTGAGTTTCTAAAATTGCTCTTTGAACTTGAGATGGCTGTGAGAATAAAATTTTGATCTTTTTCATATCATAATACTTTGGCTAAAAAATTATTCTGGTTTTTTTTAACGGCGTGTAGAAATGACAAAGGTAGATATGCGTATACATGTAAAGTACCATGTGAAGGAGTAAATTAAGGAAAGTTGGGTGATTAGCTCTTTTTGCTCAAATACTATTTTTTGATAACGAAATAGCGCGAAGCAAAAAAAGTCAGATTTTTTGTCAAATTTCCGAAGAATTGTGCTCCAAAATATTAGGTGGGTGCAAAAGTTCTGTCGTCTCATTTTTAAAAATTTGTAACTTCGCCAGATTTCAACGGATTTGCTTGCTTGTAATTTTATTAGAATGACCAGGTCTTCCGCTTTCGCTGTTTTGTGAAGCTTCTGTTTCACACTGGGTGCGGAGATAAAAATGGAAAACTAAGGCCATGTAAACTTTGACCATTTTAAGTTAGGTCACCAAAAATCTGGAATGCTGCAGAAAAATCTGAAATCGTCAGTACATATGTCTTTTGGCCCACTCTTTGCAATTGTGAAGAGTTTGTGCTGTTTGGACGTCTCCGTGAGAAGTTATGATTTTCCGCGAAAATTCACAAATTAATTGATTTTGGCGTTTCCCATGGTAAACTCGATATCCATAACTTCTCACGGAGACGTTCAAACAGCACAAACTCTTCACAATTACAAAGAGTAGACCAAAAAACATATGTACTGACGATTTCAGATTTTTCTGCAGCATTCCAGATTTTTGGTGACGCAACTTAAAATGGTCAAACTTTAAATGGTCTTAGTTTTACATTTTTATCTCGGCACTCAGTGTGAAACAGAAGCTCAGCAAAACAGCGCTTGAAAGCGGAAGACCTATTCTTTCTAATAAAATTACAAGCAAGCAAATCCGTTGAAATCTGGCGAAGTTACAAATTTTTGAAAATGAAACGACAGAACTTTTGCACCCACCTAATATAAAACGAAAGTGGTGTAAAGTACACTAATGCTACAAACATACACGATTTTCATACCAGAATTTGCATGGCCATAGATAGTCAAATTCAAGGGATCTGAAATGCCCAAAAACTGACTCCCAGGAAAAAAAATAGATACTCGGAAATTTTCATTTTTTGCTACAAAAATACACACAGCAGATCACATCCTTCACTGCCTCCACGAGTCAAAGGTAGTATAGTATGCATTCAATCACCAAATTTTCTTGTCTCTGCACTTACTACAAGCGGAGAGCGAATCGTGGAAAGTTAAAAAAGTATTTTTTGGAAGGCTAGCCATATAAGGTCATAACTGTCTATTATCAACTTATGAATTCTATATAAAGAGCAGATGGTAGTAAAAGTTTGAAGCTACGCTCACAAAAGAATGTAACCAATCAACAGTTACTTGCATTTTTATGGAGCTTCGAATTTGCATGTCAAAACGAAATTATTTATGAGCCAACATAATTATTTATGTTGAGGCGAAAAGCTGATAAAGCTGACTGATGTCATCGTTGTCGAAAATGATACCACTTTCGTTCTTCAAGATAAGCCAAAATTTAATTTCAAAAACTCCTAAAAAGAATTCACTCTACAAACAAGCAAGACAATCAAGGTCGACAATCCTATTTCCACACTCTGCTTCCAAATCAATGATAACAAAACTGATCTAGTCATAAGATGGAATTGTACTGCACATCAAAACTGGCCTTGCCGCTTATGATTAACCCGAACACAAGGGAGCCACAATTAGTTATTATCATTATATCTTATTCATTATTAGATTTACTAGTATTTACTATTTTGTCATTCGCTCTTGTACACCCTTAAACCCAGCGCTGGGGTTTCCTCTCAGAGCGTTCATAATGGACGCTGGCTCGCTTTACAATGCATAGAGCTCAAAGCAAACATCGAACATGATTTCAAGAAATATGACTGGTATCGCAATAGTCAAAAAATTCGTAGGTATAGACCAAAATCGCCTTTGTTTGGCAGAAAAATCTGCTTTTCAGATTTGGTGTTACAGAATAGCGTTATTGTGCGCTGCACTCTGGCTAAGCAGCTCAACACAGTCTCTAAGTGAACTAAAGCTGCAACGATAGACTCTTTAATGCCAAATACAGATGAAGAAGATTATAAAATTGTTGACGTCAAAGAGGATTTTGACTTGTGCTGCGCATTTAAAGCTAGCCAGGTTCGTGACAACCATCTCACTCCATAATTTTCTCGTTCTTCTTAACCTTATATCATCTTGATGGGTCCAGTGCTCTCCAGTGCTTGGAATCCAAAAGAGAAGCACTGAAAAAATTTCGATGATCATTATTCTACAGGCCTAAAAGTACAGTGAAAGTTGCATTTTTGTTTGCTGTGGCTCTGCTGAAACATATGGTTTGGCGCACATTGTCAGAAATTTTTTTAGTCTTTTGAGTAAGGCAGCAAAGCTCGTAATTATGTCAGAAGCATCTCCGCATCACTTTTACACGAGAAGGTCTTAACTGAATGAATCTGTTGCTTGGTCCCTAAGAACCGTTGGATCTGCAGGTGTACAAGAGCTGCCTTGTTGCTCTAAAAGTAGGAAGGGTGATATTCTCGCACCCCTTTCCGTCAGCGAAATCGTCATGCCAGAGCTTCGCACGCGTATGGTTTGAGCATCAAATCTGGCCTTATTTTAGGAGCCCACAAGCAAGACGCTCGTTTTGTGGTGCGTAGTTGTTTTCCAAAAACGGCTTGATTGGCACAGACTGTACAATCGTCTCAACCCTCACAGTCTAGGTCAAGAAAGTGAGAAAATTCAATTTTCAACAGCACATCGATGTGTGAACGGTATTCAGTGTCTATAACAACTGTGCATTTTGCAAGGCAAAACTGAATCCACACGCTTTAGTGAAAACATTTCTTGCCTTGTTGTTTCGTACACTGCAATATTTTAGCTATGAGCGATTTTCACTTAGATTCAAGGGCAACCTCCTATCGCTTTCGTGAAATCATGGCTAAAAGATCAAAAAAATCTGCACATATACGAAAGTTTTTACTTTCAATTAAATCAGTATATCAATAATCATTTTATATATTCTAAATGTATATATGAAATAAGTACTGACCAGTGATAAGTCTGCACATGTATAAAATGAATATTTCATGACTATTAAACCTGACAAATTGGTTGTCAGGTGTTCCTGATTATTTCTCACAGCACTCTAAGAGACTTTTCGAGGCTGGAACTGGTTCTTAGTGGCGCATTGGTATTGACAAGTATGCCAAAATATGAGTCAAAGTTAACCGTTCATATGTATCAAGCAGGCAACAGAAAAATTGAAACAGCCAAGACGTTGATTGTCAAATTTTGCAACCGTGCATTGAGACATTATGCGATTGGTGTGTTAAAAGAGCTTGAACCAACTAAGCGCAGCAAAATTCATAAACCCCCGCAGTCCTTATAATCAGCCATTTCGCAAGGATGTAGTTTATTCATTACGAAACCTAGCAGGGCAGTCTAACTTTAGCAGAATTGCGAGCATCTCACTCCATTAACCCATTCTCTGCAAACCCAGTTCAAGTTCAGTTGTCTTATTCTGGTCTCCTGATAGCACTTCTCTTCGTTCCATCTTCCTCTACATTTGCCTCTGAAAAGAATACAAATTATCAGCTGTAAACGCTGCATGTCGCTTTTCATCGCGTTTTGTTATACGTACTGATAATTCCATAAGAATTTTCTTTAGAGCACACGTACATCGCCGAAGACAAGTATGAAGTTTTTGCTTTTCCTATATATCTTAGGAGCTTGCTTATCAGTACTAACACACGCGGGCAAAATTCCATCTGGGTAAGTTTGAATTACATCGTCCTAATGAGCAGCAAAAGTGTAATCGTTTCAGGAAACGTTATTACTGTAAAATACGTGAATGTGTTGAGTACCAGGACTGGAACAGCAACTTACGCCCCATGCTTTACTCTAGCATAGAAAATTGCAGGAAGAAGTGCCCTTTCAGGGGTTGTGGCTACTCGAGGCCCAGGAAGGCACCTACAGTTGCTATAGGTCCTATAGTTCCTATAGTTCCTATACTATAGCTCGCCGCGCCTGATGCTCACCCGATACTAAGCAACGTGCTTAGCCTACTGCGCACTAACGCGCGACCGAAAGAACGATAAATAAATTATGTGATTTATTCTTATGACAATACACTAAAATCAAATATAGACAAAAACGAACACTACACTAAAACAAGTTACTACTACTTAATGAAACACGGGACGAGGACCCGCCCCATGGTACCGGTGCGCGTCTACAAGTAATCTAAAAGACATATGTGGCTCCCGAGGTTTCGCGAAACAAATCCACCGAGCGACGCCAAGGCTGTAGACGACGGCACGTCCCCTTCAGCTCCTGTAAATGTTAGAATTCCCTTGAAACACAATCCTCACTAGTGCTAAGGCCGTCGAAATGCGCTAATGAAAAGAACATGTTTCTCTTCCCAAAGAACTTCGGGCTCAACTGCTCTTACAAAAAACGACAGGAGCATAGCGGCTGAAATGATATTCGAATAAGAAGTGAAATCAATTGATAAGAATGAAGACGAGCAAGGCACTAAAGTGAGGCACCCGCCGCTTTATATAGCCGCCTGGCTGGCAACGAGCTAATATTTATCTATTTATTTATTTGATGGAGAGGTCCGGGACAATCGCGGCAACCCGTCTCGGCTACCTAATCGTCGCCGGAACAGCGCGGCAACCGGTGCCCTTATATTTTGTCGTAATTCCGAATGAAGTTTGTCTAAAAGCGTCCACAAAATAAGCTGTTACCTAGCAACAACCATTGCAAAAATTATGGAGGGAAAATGCAAAAAAAGGTAGGTTATGCTTATTATACGCGGTAGGCCGTAAGTAATTCAGGATCAGGCATCTGGTACACAAGTAATTGGACCGTATGATAGTTCTTGTATATCCTTTGAGCGACTGTCGATCGCGTAGATATTCTGAGCTTGAGGAATTTCAGCAACAGATTCCATGTGTCTGGCTCCGGTAAGAATTAAGGAAGAAGCGATGTAGAGCAGAAGAAGATAAGGCATCGGACGTCGAGTTGTAGCTGAGCATTCTAGCTTTTTTTCAGCAATGCGAAAGAGCGGCGCTAATGCTAAACGGATATATCATCACTTTGAATGGTCTGCCATTCATATTGCTAGCGACTAGCAAGTAGCCGTTTCGATTTATGCGAGTCAAAATCCGTCGTCAGAGGCAAATCTAGACCGCATTGTACGCTACGTATAATCTATAACATAAATTTTAGGTCGTTGCAAAAGTAATTTCGCTTTTTTAAACAGGCGTCACATTTGATGGAACAGAGGTTTTTGAGAGATCTTGATAGCATTCGATGCAGCATTTCATACTCTTTCTAATGTTTATGAAATTGTTGCAAAATAGTCAGAGCTTTCAGAAAATAACCAAGATCTGCGACCTATGCTTTTTGAGATAGTCAAGTTTTACAATTTTTTGAAACATTCACATCAATCCTCGGAAGGAGATCGAGTAAGGATTTGATAGAGCATAGAATACAGTACAACTTTTTTTCTTTTTCAAAGCTCGCGATAATTTCTTAAAAGATTTTTTTAACAAACCCTTCGGAATTTGACAGGCCTACATTAGCCCACAATCGCATCAAACATCACAATTATTCGGTTGAGATTACCAAGACGGTACTATGAGTCTGCACTAATTTTACAAAGCAAGTGAAAGTTTACGGATTCGAAATATCAAATTTCGAGTTTCTTGGGCACAGCCTGGGGGTTGGAAAAATAAGTTATGAGGATTTTGGTTCCGAAGACTGAAGGAACGGAAACAAAAAGCACCCATTAGAAAGAGGAGAAAATGCATCGAATAATGCGCGAGCTGCTCTTCCTTTGTTGTTATACGAAAATTTAGCTGTCCAAATTTGGAAATCGGTAGCATCAGTTAAAATGTTGTTAAAAATGAATGACAAGCTATGGAAAGGGAAAAAAATTGTTTTGCATCCTGTAAGATTTGCTTTGTAGATAGGTTACTTTCGCTTCTTCAAAGGGTTGATATAAAAGTTTGAAAAATTGTAAAACTCGACCATCTCAAAAAGCATAGGTCGCAGATTTTGGTTATTTTCTGGAAGCTCATTGAATGTTTTGCAATAATTTCATAACCATTAGGAAGAAGATGAAATACTGCATACGAATTCCAAGATTTCTTAGAAACCTTTGCCATCAAAAGTGGCGCCCGTTTGAAAAAAGCGAAATTACTTTTGAAACGACCTAATATTAGGTTGGCTAATAAATAAGTCTGTTTTGACAAGCAAATTCAAAGCTTCATAACAATTCACGTAACAGCTGTTCAGCTAAAATTACTTTGTGATAAAGAGCCTCGAGCCTCTACTTTTGAATATATAATAGCCAAGATTTTTTGTTGCCGAAAACTGACAGAACCTTATATGGTCACACTTCTAAAAAATCGCTTTTTTGACTTTCTAGCTTTCGTTCTCAGCCCGCAGTGAGCACACAGACGAGTAATTTGGTGGCCTCTGGCTAGGTGGCGAACTACGATAGAGATTGTGCCTGCTGTTTTTGAATTTCTGCAGTCAAAATTGTGAAAATTTCCAGGCATTTGCGCGTGAAGGTCAAATTTTGTCGCGGATTGCGCGACTTCTTCAAGGAGTCCGCCTCTCGTGCGCGAAGGGGTCCTAAAACGCCAGTCCTCACGCGCTGCCCCGCCCTCTCGCTCGCTACTTATGCCGCAACTCACCTGCCTAAAGTCACGTACGCCACATGTGTCTACTCGCGAGCGGTCGACTTCAACTCATTGTCAGTCCAATTATCGATCGATCCAGCAGCGCCGTCTTACAAACTCACGCGAAGAACACCACCACGCATGGAGGACTGGCCCGTCGCCTCGAGATAACCCGGTTGGTGCTTCTTGCTTGCCGCAGGGCAAAGGAGTACCTCCGCGGGAGGTTTTCTTTCTATCGGCCCCTAGGTAACATCTTGGCCGGCGTGTGCTCATCCCATTGTAATGAGTTGTTTGTGTGTTGGTTAAGATCCGGATAAATGGTGGGCACCTTAAGAGTCTTAGTGTCTGATACGAGTGTTGGGCTTAGGGCTTAGGCCTTAGCCCCATGAATATCTGTTTGCTGTTTACGTTTGTTGTGTGTTCTTTGGTGTAGATGTCCTGGAAGGTTCCATCAGGTGGAAGAGGCACGATGCTAGCTAAGTGCCAGAGTGACAATGAGCCACAACTGCCGATGTGTGTGTGGGCAGCTCGAGATGGTTGGCAGTGGAGATTAGAGGGTTAGGTTGGTAGCCTAGGGCCACTAAGATGTGTAGTGTATCCGTGTTTGACAGGCCATGAGAGCATGGCGCAAGCTTGCTACCAGGGTCAAGCGTGTTGATGCGATCCTGGACCCTCATTTACGACCCCCCCCCCCTCAAAGGTACCCATCCGTACGACCCCCCCCCCCCCTCCTCCCCCTCCCCCTCTTCCCATCTCTCCCCCTTACCTCTCCTGCCCACATTTCTCGCGATAACCTGCATAAACGAATGTCAATATCAAAAAACACCTGCGTGAGAACTTCAGTGAGGTTCCGGAAGCAGAATTTCTAGGCCAATGGGTGCGTCCAGCATCTCTAGCGCACATACGCACCTTCAGTAATGTTCGAGATTCTGCAATTTTTTTTCTGAATTTTCAGGCATACTTCAGGCCAGCAAATTCGATTCCCGTATGCGACACAAATTTTTACACGAAGATCAAAATGACATTCTTGATCTACGAAAGATGTTTTCGACTAAGAAACTCAGTTTCTACCTCTTCCACAGTTTTTCCTGCGAAAAAAACCGCTTCGGCGCCGTCCAGAACGACGTCAAAAACGTGCATGAGCACGGTAGTTTGAAAATTCGTAACTAAGGCCAGGAAAAGATTGAGAGGCTGCAAAGAACAGGTTCTGTAGCATAGTGCCCTGACTATTCATAGAGAAAGTTTCAGCCCTTGAGGAGCAGTGAGCTCGAAAAAATTTAGATGCGACTCTCGCAAATCTAGATGCGATCCTAGAAAGCAAAAACTGGGATTTTTAAGCTTAAAATTTTGTAACTTACCAGAGAAGTCATAAAACAGCCTGAAATTTTTATGAGGGAAAGTAGGAGGATGGCCTCATATTACAGCAAAATTGCAGCTAACAAGCTTCGATAGCCCCGAAAAAATTTAGATGCGACCCAGATACGACCCCCCTTTCCTGAATTATTGCTACCATACATAAAATCATAAGAAAATCCACAGTTTACAGAATAAGACCAGATTTCGCACAGTGATAACAGGGCTCATCTAAAGCACATATAAATTATAAGGACCATATAATTAGCATTACAAAAAGATTTTCGAATTATTGATTGTCATTGTTGATCTAGATGTGCGCTTTTGTCGAGTGTGTGAGACTTCGGTGAGGTTCCGGAAGCAGAATTTCTAGGCCAATGGGTGCGCCCAGCATCTCTAGCGCACATACGCACCTTCAGTAATGTTCGAGATTCTGCAATTTTTTTCTGAATTTTCAGGCATACTTCAGGCCAGCAAATTCGATTCCCGTATGCGACACAAATTTTTACACGGAGATCAAAATGACATTCTTGATCTACGAAAGATGTTTGGAAGGGAACTTGCTACCCTTCCACACGTGTCGTTACTCTATTCACGGATGGCGTCCTCAGCTCTCCTCGCCGATGCAGGAGAGCACTTACCACTGACGTTAGGAGCTGGGGAGCCCAATCCGCGACAAATTTTGGGCATTCCAGATAACTCGAATTTGGCCATCCATGGCCATGCAAATGGTTGGAAATACAAAAATTGGTTGTGCGGGTAGCGAATCTACACTTTACACCTGATTTCAGCTCTTTTTTCGGAGCGTGATTTTTTCGAAATTTTGGGGAAAAAATTTGACCAATTTTCTTTTTTTCACCATTTCATTGTCCAAAAAATTATTTTTGAGAAAACAGAGTCAACCATCCGATTCTTTCCAGTGGTACCGTATATACACACAAAGGCCCGTATGCACGTACATCCCCGCGGGGAGGGGAGGGGATCTGAGAGGGGAAGCGTCATATCCCGCTAGTTTATATATCTTTCTTCTTCTTTCTCTGTCTTGCTTTTGAAGGTTCTCATACACTGTTACTTGCGCATAACGGATGCCAGGTTACTGCCATACAAGATTAGATAATCACTATTTCGTCTGATCCCCTGGGGATCCCCAGGGGATCACCGCGTATTTTCAAAGTCATTTATCTTCCCGAAAATCCACTGAAAATGCTGTAAAATTGTACTGACGATATAATACAGCAGTGCTAAACATGTTTATGGTAGAAATGAGTGAAATCTCAAGATATCAAAATTTTCGATGAACCGCTGCTCGCGAGCCAGGGATTATCGAAAAAATCAAAATCTTCATAATCCATCTCTTCTGTCGAAAACATGCTCAGCAGTATCGTAGTATATCTTCAGTACAATTTTGCAGGGGTTTTATTGAGTTTTCAGGGAGATAAATGACTTTGAAAATGTGAGGTGATCCCCTGGGGATTCCCAGGGGATCAGACGAAATAGTGAATATCTAATCTTGTATGGCAGTAACCTGGCATCCGTTATGCGCAGGTATCAGTGTATGAGAACCTTCAAAAACAAGACAGAGAAAGAAGAAGAAAGATACATAAACTAGCGAGATATGACGCTTCCCCTCTCAGATCCCCTCCCCTCCCCGCGGGGATGTACGTGCATACGGGCCAAAAACTAATTTGTGACAATCCTACAAACATTGATTGAAGGCAGGAAACAAAAAGTCCACAAATGGTTTTAAGGTTTATTTGATTGCTTGCAATTTGCTTGTTTTCCGGAAGATGTCTTTTCCGCTATCCAAAAAATTACTGAAAACTCTCTCCAGCGTTCTCTGAAAATATTACTCATAATGATATCCATAATAATATCCAATAATAAATTAGATTAGTCAAAATGGCAGCGGACAAATGGTTGGAAAGGCCATTTGCCGATATCGGTCACTCTCAGAAAGGCCTAATTTTTCCAGTGGTTGCCGCTTGATGCTATGAATTAGCTTGGAAATCAATTCAAGCAGTTTTGCACACTTTATCAAACCCAGCACACATGTTATGCAAGCAAAGTAATTCTTGGAGTTGAGATTTTAGTGACATGTCTAATCACTCGTGAAATCACAAACACACAATGTATATTCGGATCGTGAATGATGTTTGCTCCCCATGGACTAAGCAACGGCGGAGTTTTAGCGAATATTGCTTATTGTTGGAAGAAAAGCGGAGAAAAATCCATGTAAGTTCCCGGGTCACTCTGATTTGACAGAGGTTAGTTGACGCGAGAGTTCTTGGTGATTCAGCTAAAAAATTATTTTACTTCAAATCGTGAACACAGATTCATAAATTTGAGTCACAAAATAGGGTTTGCCCTTTATGTTTTACGACATTGGTTCATCAGCAGCTTTTATTGGCTAGCATCGGGGAACGAAGCTTCTAAAATCAAGTTTACAAACTTGTGATTCTGAGTAGGACTTAGGAGGTATTAAAGCCTCTAGCTGAGACCGAAAAACAGTAGATTTTTACACAAAGCTAGTTCATACATTGCTTGGCAGGTTGAAACCTTGCACGAAACTGCAAGCTAAGAATTCGTAAAAAAAATGTCAGTTTGCAGAAAAGCTCTTCATCAATGCTATTCTCAAGAAATACAGGGTGTCCCAAAATAATGTGCACACTGTTTGATTTTGAATAACTCTCTAATTATGAGGTCTTTCGAGAAGCGGTAAGCACCATTTTGTAGAGCTGGCATCAACTTAGATTTACAGTGTAGAGCGAATCACCGAACGCCCCTCATTACTGTAGGATTACGGTAGAAACTTGAAACATATGGTGTCACTGTGGAAAAAGGTGCCGTTTTAAAAATTTTTAAAAAGTGTGAAAACTTGTGTAATAGGGTTTTTAGGGACGCTGAGTTCAATACTCAACTATTCTCAAGATTGCGAAGCTTTCTAAACGGTGTAATCGCACTTTTTAGGAACATTGAGAAAATGGCCGCTACTGCTTACCTCGCATAACTCTTCAGTGAAGCATCATAATAAGTTGGAAACTTTACAGTTAGAATCAACAACTCTAATTAGCCTAGTGTAAAAGTTTTCAGGCTGTTTTGATTCCTTTTTGAGGCAAAATATGACCTTTCATGGCCCAAAACCCCCTTTCAACTTTCTACCGTAATCCTACAGTAATGAAGAGCGTTCGGTGATTCGCTCTATACTGCAAATCTAAGTTGAAGCCAGATCTATAAAATGGCGCTTACCGCTTCTCGAAAGACCTCATAGTAAGAGAGTTATTCAAAATCAAACAGTGTGCACATTATTTTGGGACACCCTGTATAAGTTGACACTCCAGAAGTAGTCATAGTGTTCTTGTATAAAATTGTGTTTTCTCGTAATAAAAGGTGACAGAAACTTATTTCTGCGAAACAGCGCTTTTCAGAAGCATTTCTTTGGCTTTTTCAAGCGAAATCAAAGCCTGCCCAGTGGTTGGACAACAATGTAATTACAAATAATCTGTTTGAATTGAGCAAAAATATTTGCTCTGATATATATACGAGCACAACATTGAGCAGCGCGAACAGCTCCAATCTTGCCTCATTAGATAGTAGATAATATAGGTATTAGACAATCAGCTATTTTATTGTAAAAGCTTGAGACACCAAATTCATTGTACACTGACGGTAGGGATATTGTTCGAAAAATAAATGAGGCTACGGTTGAGCGAGGCGGCCTCCCTTACCGCCACTGCTATGTAAACGGCTCGGAATAAGCGGGGCACGATTTTTGAAAGTAGGTGCAGACAACATTTATATATTCGCAATCAACGCGCGATTGCGAGCATTCCCACACAAACATTTTATTCTAATTGTGAATCTTTCAACTTTGAACTCAGTTTCAAATCTCTTTGTGGCTCTGATGGAGATGCAAGTTTCACACCGCTCATAAAACACTTTCCTGTTCTAGTTATTTTGAGGAGTTGTGGCAACTAGGTATCTCTCAGATTTTGCAAAGCTGTGAAATGCAGCTCAAGTTCGTAATTTGCAAAAAAACAAGCTTTACTATGCCCCAACAATCTACTTTTTCAGCCTCTTTCTTGCTACGTGCACAACAGACAAGTTAAAGCACGATGTTGGGGGAGCATTTGCTCTTTAACGCTTGATAAAAAGATTTCCATCACTTTAAACAACACTGTGAAAGTGTTTCCATTAACAGCCTGTACGGCAAAAATAGATTAGCAACATTCTTGATACAGAATTAATATTCCTACTTGCTCAATGTACAATACTCAAAATATTCCTTCTACTGTTTCGCACGAGATGTACGTGCTTCTTACTTTTCTCGCAGTATGTGCTACAGCATTTTGCTCAAAGCCTTCCTTTCTCCAAAACATGTCCAGTGCAGCCCTGTCGGAGTACAGACAAATACAAATGAGGTGGGATTTGAGCTATTTCGAAATAAGGAAACAAATTGAGCATTGGGGAGACAAGCATGGAGTAAAAGTAATTTTACTGTTTTGTTTTGCAAACTAAATACTTTTTTTGGTTCATGTTCAGGACAAATTAAGAAAGTTCTTGGACGACAGGGAGGATGACAAAAAGACACACAGCTACAATTTTTTGGAGCTGATAACAAAGCTACGTCCTTTTGCTAGAAGGCTTATGATCATTGCGAACGATCGTGAAAAACCTTTGAAGCAAGTAAAAGCAGAGAGAGACAAGTTCAAAGCTGCACATCATATGGTAAGTTTGCGTGCTTAAGAATAATTTTTGACCATAGTGGATTTTCAGGAGTTTGAAGTGCTAAAATATGCATGGAAAGTGGCGAATGGATATCTTCAACAAAAGACACAGGAAGGTTTAAGTAAACAGGAAGACGATACCGTTTATCCATGGACGTCTATCGATGAGAGTTTATCGTGACAGGAATAAAAGTTTAATTTATAACTATAATAGTAGGAATGTACACAATGATTAGTAGATCGTATCTTAACGATCAGAAACAACGACTTCCTTGATTTTTTGCTTAATATGGTTTGAATAGCTTCGGAAACATAGGTATTTTTGAAGTATTCTAAAATGTGATCCACGCTTATAGGAAGTGCAAACTTTTAGGACGTATTTTTATTCTCCAAACTCGCTCCCGCTTTCAAATGGTCCTCATCGCGATTAGAGCTGATATTATCTTGTAGCGCGACGTTCATCAGTCAGCTTATAGCAAACCCTATGAGGAGACGTTTTGCGCTAGAAACTGAAGTAGTTGATACAAGCTCTCATATAAGAACATTTGTTGTAACAGTGAGCTTTAAGAATCAATAGTCTAGAATCATTAAACTTGGCTGTTCCAGATTTTCTGTTCGATTTTCAATTTTTATGTTTAACGCAGCTATTTTCTATAAGACGTCCACCTGTTGCAGTATGATGAACACCATTTAGAAAATCTTCTCTAGCGTTTTTCAATGCTTGTTATATTGGAATACTTCCCGGTTACAACATTTCAAACCCCAAAGCACAAGCTGCCACAGCAGTGCTCAAGAAAAATGTTTGCTGGGGGAATCTCCGCAGTGTCGTCAAAATTTGCCTATGTAAAATCTCGTGATAAGTAAGGGTGTAATGAGCTGACATATGTACACTTTTACTCGATATAAAAATCGGCTTGTTTTTCTTTATAGATGAAGATTTTAGCTATTCTACAAGCGCTCAATCTAGACAGTGCGACAGTTGATATAATCAATATAATATAGGTTAGCGCAAAGCAAGAGCAAGCAGAGACTATCAACGAATCACCTTTTTTCGTTGCGAACAAATAGTCAAATATCGGAAAGTCGACATAATTGTGTGCGCGGGGAAGGGCTCCAATAGGTTTTTTTGTGATTTGCTCACAAAAACTTTATGAAGCCAAAAATACATGTACTCTTTTTTGGCCATGAGATAATTTCTAAATATAGGCTACTCAATGATGGATACCAAAAATGTTTGCCTATTGTTGAGCACTGGTATGTTGAAACAGAACGTCTGAAAATTTTTTGAAACTCCCCAAATTTTTGCTTCTTTCTCGCTTGCCCTTTTGATCAACCTACTATTTGTATAATTGAAAAAACCTAGCTCACTCCAGCAGAAACCAAAATGCTCGGAAATTTCTTCTGAAAAGTTGTAACGTTTCAGATCAGAAATTCTGAAAATCGGGCAGAACTTTCGGAACAATCTAATGTATGTCAATGTTCTGTTAATGACGCTGAGTTTGATATTACATTTGGGTTGTTCAACCGTTGTACTTCGATTTCCTCTGGAAGACCCCTCCATAATCGACAAAGTTGAACGAAAGATCTCTTACAAGGAAAGAATACTCGGTCGCCGCGGCCATATGGAATGCGATGTATATTGTAAATGCATTTCGAAATGCTAATTCCAAATCTGTGCTCGATATCTGCGAAACGGTCTTCTGAAGGAAGCTATGAACTTTTTTTCGTAAAAAATTTGCGTATTATTGTGTAGTTGAAATCACCGAATTTGTTCCAAGTTACCTTTTGGAGCTATTGAAGAGAATTTTAAAAGGAATACCGTTGTATTATACCTATCTAAATCACATCCAGCATTTGAAAAGGAAAGAAAATTTTTTTGATGATCTTGACCCTCCGCAGTAACGCAGTATATTCTTGGAAAAATAATCATAACTCCACCCAGGTTATCGTTTCGCAGATATGGAAGACATATTCGAACCAGCATTGAAAGGCGCATTTTTTGATATACAAATTTTTATGAATGGCCGCGGTGACCAAGTATTCTTCCCTTGTTAGATTATTCAGGTACTCAGTCTTAACAAAGTTTTAGTGATATCATTCTTATTTGCAACGTGTTGGAAGTAGCTAGATTGGAATGAAAATGTGCCAAGACTGTAGTGTCATTGAGAAACGGCATTCAAAAGCTCTCAAAAAATAAAATGTGCTTCATAGTCATATCAAAAAATCAGTAGAGTCGATATCGATTGACAACGAAAAGCAGCCTACGACGATACCCGCCCCGCCCCGAAGTGCATGTGTTCAAAGTTTGGTCCGGATCGGTTCAGAAACAAAATCTTCTATTCGGAACATACGTACATACGTATGCCACTGGCATGCTTGCGACGTGCTTGTTGCTCTTCTCCGCTGATTGATCCCGCAGAAACTATCGCCGTTGCTTTTTCCCACGAAAACGATAACCGCAAACAAACAAAGGCATTATTTACAACCAAAATGCAATGTTATGATACGAAATTTGGTGTGCACACCAAATATTTACGGAAACTTGAAATTTATGAAAAAAAAGCCGTGCCGAAACTTTTCAAGTTTGCTGAAACCTTCCCACGTAGGGTCTAGCTCAATTGTAACCAACCCTTTACTCACATAATTTTTCATACCATTTTTTGCACACATCGTACCTTTACCATGAAAATTTTCATACGAGCAGAAAATCGTCTCACAATCTTTCCTACAGGCTTTTCAGATTCAGAGAAAAGAAATTTCGTTAGCGGCACAATCTGTTCAGACAGCAAAGCGCGCCCCTAAACAATCCAAATTGCCTTGATAATGCTTGATCCTTCCTTTTTCCTTTTTATGTTCTTGCTGTTATTAATATCTATTGTTATTCTCAGGGGAAGAGAAGAGGTGGATGGGTAGAGAAAGAAGAGAGAAAGAATTGAAAAGTGAAAGGGAGATGTGAAAAGGAGGAGACAATTGCTGTAGACTGAGACTCCGACCATGGAGCAAAAGGTAGGCGCATGATGCGGAAAATAGTAAAAATTGGAATTTTCAAATTGCTAAACAATAACAGAGAGAGTTCCCAGTTTTATCTCTTCGATCTGGAGTGAACGACAGCACAAGCAAAGGGACTTCGTTTCAGAATTCTGGTTCCAGTTGGTGCCGAGCGCCGGTCGGACCCTTTCCAGAGGGTTCTCATAAACCATTTGCTTTAGTTTAGTAAAAATTTTAGTAGATTCTTTGGAGTATCTAACTGCCTTGTGAGGGAGAAATCAATGCGATTAATACGATCAAGTTGATTAGTTTACCATGTTTTTCTAGAAATATCGTGTGTAAGAAAGCATTCAAGGTATGCAAAAGCTTTTCAACTTCTCTCATAAGAGCAAAACTTCAAAGTATAGATTATCTAGATGGTTTTCAAAAACATGCAAATCTTTCTTCTTAAACTGTCTTGGCCATGGAGGTTTACCCCAAAAAAATCAATGATAGCCGTCGTACCACGTCACTGCATGCTTCTCACAATCAGATAACAAAAGTATGGGAAAGAATAAAGCTGATATCATATGTCAAATGTACTCTTGTCTTGGAACTTGGGCATTCTGTGGTACTGAAAGCAATAAATTCTCACCGATAACAACTTGTACGGCAGAAGAGAAATATTGAGGTCAGAGCTAATATCAATTTCTAAGGATTATTGGTGCTTTTTAAAGTGACCCCATGCATCATTCTCCAGTCGTGCAGTTGGATTCTATATGAGGCTGCTGCACTGCAAACCCTGTGGCCCGCTGCTCCTCATTTTGTACAATTTTTCGCTTCATTGTAAGTGCATTGCATCTTGTCAATCATGTGGAAACAAAGTCTTCAGCTAAAGAAGGCGCAAGAGCAGCATAATCAAGCCGGTTCTCGCAGCTAAATCGCTGCAAGACCCCCGCCTGATGCGGCGTGTAATGAACCGCCTTCGTTCAGTAGTTCCTGCGCCTTTGCTTGGCACTTGACCTTACATGAAAGATAAGAATATGTCATACTTTCTTTCTTCTTTAGCACTCAAACTTCTCTGGCTCAAAATGAAAACTGCTTCAAAACTTCGAAACAGAACAAAGAACATCTTTGAACTATTTGGTTTGTTTTGGTTCAGACTAGTTGTTCCTCCACTTGAGTTTTCACTATTTTGATTCACGTGTTGGAGATATCTGTTTTGGATAATGCAATTCTTCATGCGTATGTCAAATAGCAAAAAGTGAGTACAATTTGCAAATGCACCATGGAAGCTGAGTTTCTATCAACCCACATTGTAAACATCATGCACGCGATCTTCCAACCGTATGAACATTTAGAAAGTAGAAAATGGATAGAGCTCACATGGGGCAATGCCATGGTGGGCTGTAGAATCTTCAAGCACTGCAACTTATGTAAAGCCGCACGCCTGCGACTGTGATCTGCGGGCAAATCGGTCGTCCGTACAAAGATGTGAGCTGTGTTATGACGTTGCAGAAAGATTTCCTGCATAAAATTGAGATCAAAATTTTAGTCACAATATATGGTTAAACATGACTATGAGAGTGACCAAATAGCACCATTATTGTCGAACATAACTACAGGAGTACCGAAATAGCACAACTCAAAAATTTTGCGTGCCTTCACATGGATTTTGCACCAAAAGTGTGGAGATATGAAAAGCTAGTGTGTGTACAGTATGCCAAAGCTGTGTGATTTGATAAATGTCAGAACAACACAAACTACCTGATCTGGATCAGGGTGGAAAAGAAACTTCCACCATCAAAAAGAAATCTAAAAAAAACGTCCATCTTCTTAAAATAGCGCAAGCTAAAAAAAGAACACCAAACTTGACGCTCAATTAAAATGATAGATAACCAATAGAGTTTGCTCCATAATGGCTAAGCAAAATGTGCGAATGCTGCGGGAGGACGTCAAAGATAAAGCACATGGCCTGCTCTGCAAGGCAGATGGTCACTGTGGTTGTTCAGCAAATAATGTCTGCCCTAGTCTCACTCGTGTCTTACTGCCTGCTCAGGTAAAGTCATGCTTTCACTTTTGTGCGTGAAATGAAATTTTCTGCCGTTGTCTTGCTTGTGTTCGCTGTCAAATCTCCGTTTATATATCTATATATCTAACATAAGCAAGAGCTTATTCAGCGAAATAGTCACCTGTTGATTACCTTAGACTTTGTGATATCTAATCCTCGCATACTATGTTTCATTATGTGCCGGCATCCCGAGGAATGAAAGGCGGAACATCAAAGTCTTGTATTGAGGCCTTCATTTTTGCTATGATAATTCCTTACTACCGTTCTTGATTATTAAATTTCTGCAAACGCTTCTGAAAGACTCGGTTTATCGCTAGAGGGTGCTTGTAACGAATAACAATTCTGTATTGCAAGCATGAGAGAAGATAATTGAAAAGCGGAATTCTGCGCAATCACAACAGTCGTTTTGATGAATGTTCGAGGACGCGGTTAGAAGATGCACGTAAGGAACGGCGAACGTTTTGACACAAAAAAGGAATTCATGTTGGGTAAGCGTCCTCTGTCTCTGTTTTTACCCGTTTCATCCTTTGATTTCTGATTTGAGAGACTTGGAAAATATTCAGAATGTATCTGCTCTTAATTCTTGCTGCCGTCACTACTGCTTTTTGCCACGATCCAGCATTCCTCCGAGAAATGCCCAAAAAAGCTCGAATAGAATACAGTCGCATGCAGAAAAAATGGGATTTAAGTTACACACAACTGTCTCAGATGGTCAAGAAGTGGGCGGAAAGGCACGGAGTTCAGGTAAAATGAAAAAAGGCTCATGTCATCTTTGTTGCGAGTCGTATCAATATTAATCCCACCACGAAAAACGATCAACTTTTCTGTTTTCTTTTCTCTGTGAAAATATCGGCAGCATTTACTCATCTCACGATTTGCACTGCGCAGCCCATGTGCTTCGTAATTGCTGCGACCTTTAGCTCATCATATAATCTGCATATTGCAAAGCCTGTGCTTGATGGTGTGCTTCGATTGAAAAAAACTGCCGAGATTTGGAAAGGTGACAAGATCGTTAAATTTCAGATTATTTGGTACTTCTGAGATTTCAACAAGTTGATATGTGAAGCCGAAAGTGCATTTGGCTGCGTATGGCATCATTAAAATAAATCAATGCATCCGATACGTTAAAGCGCATTGAAATGTCTTTGATTTAGTCTTCATACATATGATGAACAGTATCCCTGTGTTAAACACATTGTTTTAGTTTACCAACTGTGCTGATGTAGGTTACCACGATAACATCAAACACACTGTTTACTGTAGTATTAAGATGTTCACTTAGTTTTGCAACTACTTTTATAGCTTCTCTCACTTTGCATAAAAAACACTCAAATTTTACCATCATATAGGTCGTGACGTAAGCGACAATGCAGCCACATTCTGCAAAATTCTAACGTCACAGCGGGGGTTACGGTCAGGGCGCGGCACGCGTTGGTTTGGAGCACTTTTTTAAACGAAGTCCCCCATGATTTCGCGAAAAATTAGGTCCCTCTTGACGTAAAAATCAGTAAGAAAACCCTTGCTTTATCAATATTACAATAAAAAACGAAAAAAAAAGGTTTTGAGGCATCTAATACAACAAAAAAGCAAAAAAGAAAACATTTCGAGATGATTAAAGGCTATGTCATTGGGAAGGTATTACTTTAGTGTTCAAAATGTCGAAAACCTCCTAGGTCAACCAAATCTGTGGCCTCAATAATCTGGCGATGCATTTTTCGCCACAAAGTTCAAAGGACACCGCATGTGATTGGGGCGCAATATCTACCAACGCATAGATTTACACTATTCTTGGCTCAAAAAAAGAGGAGAGGCAATGGTTTGATTCGCTCTCTTTACTATATGATAGATTTTTGGCCGTAGTAATCGTCCAAATCAAAAAGGATCAAAACTTACGTGAACTCTTCGATATTTATGCTCCGAACCAACCCAGTTGGTTTGGTGTGGTGTCTAGAAATCATCAAATTCGGAAACGGATATTAGGACACATAAGTTTCTGAAACTTTTTACATAACATAATTTGGAGTAATATTGTATACACATAGCCCAAATTCGGAAACATGTGATTGTGTCTGCGCTGTAAACAAGCCATTTGTTTGTTTGAGTCTTGTGTTTGAAATTCGCGCGCTTGCGAAAGAACACGTTCAACTCGTAAAACCTGACATGTTCGTCGTTTTTTTTATTGGCGCTTCCCCCAGGACCTTATAAAAACGATATCCCCGTTGCTTCTAACTTCAAAAACGAAGTCCAGTTTGAACCCAGACCATCTGTGCCGGGCCCTGGTTACGGTAGGTATATGGTTTGAGATGAAAAATTACAGATTACTGCAAAAGTGGCTGAACTTTGCGTAGATGGGTTATCTGACATGCTAATCGCAGATTTGACGTTGGTTTGGCATGGTAGGAGGTTTTTGCAAGGTTACGGTAGGTTTACGGTATGGGGTCTCACGCTAAGCAAGAAATGAAGCGTTAATTTGGTGAATGAATATGGTATTCATATTCGGCAGGGCAAATAACCCCATCATGCAAAGTTCTGGCGAATTCTGAGACTTCGACTCCTCGTGATTGACGCTTTTTCCTAAGCAGCTTTGCATACCGCGGCCCGTTTAACTTTGTGAGGGCGCCAAATCCTGATTTGTCTTCGAATTCCATTTCTCACTTACTGCGCTAGATGAGTCATCAACCTCTAGCAACAATTTATGCACACTTTCAGATTGTTATGCATGATCTAGGTTACGGCTTTATCTTCACTTAGAACCCCATAAATCCTCAAATTTCACAAGTTTTCGAAAAACTCTCGGATTTTTTTTTATTTTGTCATTAGAGAGCGAGCGGCTTGTGCCAGTTTGTGGCTCACACGGCAGTCTACACAATATCAAAATTTGAGTGCGCCATTATCAAAAGCGAGGTTACGGACTCAGTTGCAAAACTTAGTGAACAGCCTGATATATTTCCTACCTTGGTCGATGGTTGTTTGTCTTTCCTGACTATTCAATATATTCCAGCACCTAAACTGCTTGCAATCTGTAAGAGAAGCAATCCAACTTGCAGTGCCCACGCACTTTGAAAGTGATCTAAGCGAAAATTTTGATGCGCCTTTCCGTAATTTGAACTCATTGCAACAGAACAGCGGACGACTCAAGCTTCCTTGGTCCTAAACATAACTCACAGCCACTCTTGTCTACATTTTTGCGCACTGCAAAAACTGCACATGGCAGGAGCTTATGACATTGCAAATTATTTAAATCGCTCTTACGCAGGAGCGCAAACACATTGGAGTGCTTCAAAACTCTACAGCGATGTCCATTCATTGACGGTATTAATCCAACTTGCCTCTTTGACTTTCTTGTCCTTTCAACCGGTTCTGAACCTGCTTCAAAGAGCGGTCATTCAGGCTGAGATGCGCGAATATCTACTAGAAAGGGAAAGACGAGATAAGCAAGCCTGGAAGAAGTTCCTTAAACTGATCAACGATTTGCCTGCATTAGGCGATGAGCTCCTAAGCATTCTTGAAGATATTGACACACCGCTCATGAACATGAAGGCTGAGAAGGATAACTTTAAAACCAAGTATAAATCCGTGAGTCATATCCTCGACGAAAATACTATATTTTCCAATGCTAATCTTCCAGGGGTACAAAGTGCTAAGATACATTTGGAAACAATTCTCAGATTTGGAAGAAGATAAGAAAATTATTTCTTAGGTATTGACGACTACGAGTTTGTGGGCGACAGCGAGTGAATGGAGGTGTTGGTTATTTAAAAATTTGATCCCCAAGCAAAAGTCCTAAATGCTCCATGTACATAGATATAAGTTGAAAGGACATTGTAGCTTTCAGTTGCTGCACTGACATTTGAGCATTGGAAAAGAGGTAACAAGATTTTGGTGAAGAATGTTTATTTTTATCCAAACTACTTTCTTGAGCAGCAAAACTACCTTTCAATACTTGTTAATTCAAAATCTCTTTAACCTCTATTAAAACGAGTGCTGGCACATTCACAGACGAAAATCTCAAGCCCAAGAGGAGCCGAGCTTTTGAATGATCCTATGTTTCTCAAAAAGGAGAACTTGGGCTGCAAACCCCGATATGTTGTTACCTGTCAATTGCTATTATCCGTTAGTAATTCTTACATGATACCATAATATTTGTTGAATAAATGTGACAAATGAACGGCTCCGATCTGTTGTCATAAATTGCAGAAATTTTAAAATTTAGAAAGGGTGAATATAGAAACTGTAAATTTTGGAGATTGGCCTTGTGAAAGACTCTTTTGGCTGCAACTGTGTTCGAGGATTACACCAAATCTGGTTTCTTATTCATGTCAACAGTTTTTAGTTTGCGCCCAGGAAAGAACTCATGCCTGCACGGCATACACTTCTCAATCAGTGTGAGAATTCATAAAGCAAGTACTGTGACGTCCACATTTCGATAAGTAACAGAGTTGAAGATTCTCAAAGCGCTAGATTTACCATTAAAGGTTTAGCCAACTGATTTGTACTTTTCATTTAAAGAGGTCAAACTGATGAGTCCTTAAACACGCATTCGAAATGGAATCGAATAAAGCAGTTGGGAAGTATTGGTTTGGCAGCGAAGATTCGGAATATGAGTGTAAGCTCTTCATGCCACTGAGAAAGGCATAATTGCCGAAACTCAGGCTATGTAAAAACTATGACATACCCGATTGGCCTAGAGCAGACTATAGGACATATTGGAAATCGATCAAATTTTGCAAGCAGAGCATACGAAATGTTCAAAGTGCCAAAAAATTAGTTGAACGTTTGTTCTCTATAAATCCTTTAGTGACTTCATACCGCGCCTGCAGCCGCGGCTGGCAGCCCGCGGTAACCCGTAGCAGCCGCTGGCCGCTTTTGCCATAAAAGCATTTGATACCATAGTTCGCCAACATTTCTTTGCGGTGTGGTTTTTTCTCACCTTGGATGCGTCCCGTTTTTGCAGTGTGCAGAATTTTGGTATGGTCCTGCTTCAGTAATACCCTTGGCTATCGGTGCTTATCTTGAGTGACTCTGTAATGTGTGAGAGTCGAAATGCACATTAGTGGCAATGGGAAGAAAGAAGCGTGGAAGATGAGAATTGTGGGCGAGCGCAAAGTAGTGAGAATTTGATGGTTTTGCGCTTCTACGACAAAAGCTGCCAGCAGCGGCTACGGGCTGCTACGGGCTTCTAGCGGCTACCGGCGCGGTATGAAGGCACTCTTTGGTATGAAAAGCTTTCGTGGTTCTTCAAACACTACACTGCAGTGCTGGCTTCAACTTAATTTACACCATGGAGCAAATCATGATCGCTCTTTATTACTGTGTGATCACGGTCCGAACTTCTGGCGCATAGTGACAATGTGAATAAATCGTCATTAGAAAGATTTTTCAAAAAAATTGGAAAGTTTTGTACCAAGATCTTTCGCGCTTTAGTTTGCATGGCAAACAAAGGTTTTTCAAACAGCATAGCCGCATCTTTGAGGGATAGAGAAAACAATTGTTGGAATGTACTTGGCATAACTTTTACAGACGCATTACTATAAAATGCGATCTTTTTATCAAAAATCACCAACTCTGACCGGTGTAATTCTCAAGTTCCTCATTTTGCTCTTTTAGGAAAGGGTAATCGCTCAAAACTCTTTCTAAAGTTCGTACGGTAACTCTGCAATAATGAAGGGCGATCTGTGTTCCGCTACACAAGCCGTATAGAGTGTCTGAATAACCGCGCTCTTCACACAGGAAAGTTATTAACAAATGGACGACCATGCAGATTTTTAGTTGTTTGCCTTTTGGGACCAAAGCCTCTTTTACGGAAGGCCCACTTTTTCAAATATAATTACGCATACTGCCATCTACAGTACACCTACAGTAGATCTGAAAGGTTGACAAAAAAGGTAGAAGTCATTCCTAGATTCTGTGCAAAAGGAAAGCTCATGGAGTGAATTTGTTTCAGAATAGTAGTCATTTTACCAAAATTCAAGCCTTGACACATATGGTGTGTCAAGCGGTCCCACGCGGTAGTCATTGTTTGACACACCATGTGTGTTAAGCAGTCGTCACTGTGTTAAAGATTGTACGTTTCATACATATCCGGGGCCTGGAGCCAAGGACCCGAAACTGCTCAGACGTTGGCATATAGTAAAGCTTGGACTTCAGTTAATCCGAGAAGGACATAAGGTAACAATACGACGCTTCAGTTCGGTATCAAAAAAGCCACCGATCCCGATAAGGCCAGCTTGTAGACATACAGAGAAACAGCAGACTTCGCCCATTTTCATCGAATGGGTAAAATACTGCGTTGAAAGAGAGTTGGACGCCGGTACGTGTTTTGTCTATGGCAATATATTTGTAGGCTGCCATGCCAATTTTGATAGCTGTCATAAAAAATGATGATGATGTTGAAAATTTTGAACGACAAAAGAGAGTGACTTCACTTTACATGTAAAACATTACATTATTGCTGAGAAAGTATTATATTAGGTCGTCCCATAAGTTCGTAGGGTTTTTATACTCGTCCTCCTTTATCTGAAGGGAGGTTGTTTTGCGACAAGATGAGCACCTTGAAAAGGGCTGATTATGCTCTTTACAATGAGCTTATCGGTTTCGATGGAAAGTTGACCCGCTTCGATTTCTCAGCTTCCGAATATGGAATTTTCAAACGACAAAAAGAAGCATTTTCGACATCTGCTCATTTTTTATTACAAGAAAGTTTTTGTGCATGGGTTTTTTAGCCCGATATGAAAATTGGCTCTTTCCCGTCAATATGAGGCAAAAAGAATAAGATTGTTTCAAAAATAAACAAGAATTTGCACGGGATCCTCTGGCAAGACTTTTTTGCAAGACGAGCAGGAGGTTCTGCACTGAAAATTGCTGGCCAAGAATAAAACGGTCGCTCATGCCGTACGCAACCCATTTGCGCCATCCAAAAATCCCTACTGCAAAACGACACAAAAGACAGGCCCAGTGGTTTTTCTGCGAGACAAAGTATAGCTCCGTATATCAACGTCGTCAAAACACCCTGCAAGATTTGGCGGGAGACATATTAGTATTCGGTATACTCCTCAGACCGCGCTCCACCAGATGATCTTTTGTCCCGCTATTAGTATTCGGTATACTCCTCAGACCGCGCTCCACCAGATGATCTTTTGTCCCGCTCCCTTGCAAACCGTATGAACGGTGCTTGTTCCGATTCTAAAGAAGATTTAAGCATTGGTCAGGCGGTTCCTTGGGACCAGCCCTGCTGAGTTTAGAAAATGAAGTCGAAAATTTAATAGAGAGGCAGAAAGTTGCACGCAGGAGCAGAAAATACATTATCCACTAGCTGGCTTACCCGGCTCCGCCGTATGTTCCGAATAGAAAATTCCATTTCTTAACCAATCCGGACCAAACTTGGCACACATACACTTCGAGCCCCGGCGGGTGTCACAGTCCACTTTTCGTTATCGATTGATGTCGATTTTATCGATTTTTTGCAAAATTTGAGCTAGGAGGCTGGGATTTGGCACAGGGGTGTAATCGAGCATGCTGATTACGAATACAATATTAGTTTTCGAAACCGTGCATTACTTTTATCGATTTTATCGATTTTTTTGCAAAATTTGAACGGGGCTGGAATTTGGTAGGGGGGTGTAATCGAGCATGCTGATCACCCCCACGGGGATGATCAGCATGCTCGATTACCCCCTGTGCCAAACCCCAGCCCCGTAGCTCAAACTTTGCAAAAAAAATCGATAAAATCGATAAAAGTAATGCACGATTTCAAAAACTAATATTGTATTCGGAATGCCCATGCTCACTTACCCCCCTATGCCAACTCTCAGCCCCGTAGCTCAAATTTTGCAAAAAATCGATAAAATCGATATCGATCGATACGAAAAGTAGCCTATGACACCCGCCGGGGCCCGAAGTGTATGTGTGCCAAGTTTGGTCCCGATCGGTTCAGAAATGAAATTTTCTATTCGGAACATACGTACACACAGACAGACATACAGACAGACAGACAGACAGACATACAAACAGACATTCAGCTTTATATATAAGATTGTATTCTGACAAAAATTTGTGTTTTCTTTGATTTATAGAAACGCTATAAACGCATGGATCGACCTAATACCTAGAAGTACCCTTTCTTTTACAGTGATGAGATGATGTAAAAATTTCACGTCTGCCTTTTATGAAATGTTGCAATCTTCACTTTGTGATAAACAAACAATGATATTAATCTGTCAGTTTGATCTCGGTTCAGAACGAAACAATCATGAAACAACTATCATAATGATATGCTGCGCACTTGCTTTGCCAAAAACTTTGGGTGACACATCAAGCTGAAAAGCCGCCAGAAGTTTATCATGATCCTCACGATATCTCCAAATCTTGCGGTGGCTTCGATCTATAGTTTCAGATATCCCAATTTTGAAGTTCTTCTCGCACTGATATTGTCCAAATTGATCGACTGCTTTTGGTCTCTCATATAGGGCATCAGAACTATTTGCGAGTGTATTCTGCAACGCAAAACTCGTGCAAGACGAGATCAGCAATAGGCAAAAAGCTATTTTGTTTCAGTAACGTTTTATCATTAAGAGGCTATAGCATGAATTGGAATTTCTAAGTGTGGCTTGAGAAAAATCACAAAATATCTTACTGATTAAGTTGCGCGCAACACGCAGGTATTTTTTCAGAGAATTTTCTGCTTCTTCATAGAAAAATGCTACTGTGACGCAAGGAACACACCACATGATAGAGCAAGTTTTCGGCTGCAACATACTATAAGCGCAAAATCTAGGATGGTCTGACAAGAAAATTATCGTCGTTTAAACAAAGTCATGTGTTTGCTACATGCTCAGAAACTGCACATTTTATGGGTGCGAATGAGCGAAAGAAAAGCAGAAATTGACTCCAAATCAGGTTGGAGTTTAACTAGTGAAAAAAAAA